TGCAAAATTCAAACCATTTTTGGCAGCCCAGAGTGATCTGCAGTTTAAGGCAGCTCTGCTCCACAAAAGTGAGAGGTGTGTGTTCGAGTTCCACCAGTGGATCACCCCACAAGCACAGAGCTAAACAGTACCTGAAGGGAAGAAAAAAAGAGTAAAAGCCACACTCACAGGGAAGAAAAAAATTGATCCCAAATCAAATATTGGAAAGAATAGGAGCCCTTTCTTCTTTAAAAGAACAGCAAGAGGCTGGGTAGGACAGGAAGGACAGGAAAATCTTTTAGGTTGGTTAAGACATGTTTGTGTGGGTTAACATATATCAAGTGGAATATAAATAATATAATATAATTAAATATAATCAGATCAAATATCTTCATTTAAAAAACAAATAATTCTGCTAGTCATGTTGGAATTCTGGTGCATCTGTACAGTTAAGCAGGGTCTCAGCTTTGATGTGTAAAATACTGGCCCTTCATATAGCATTCAGAACAAAAGGAGAAAAAAAAACCCCAAAGATTTTGAGCTTCCAGTGTTTTTGCTGACAATCTTTTGCTGACTTCAGTGAACAGTGAATCAGATCTCTGAATATCAGTTTTTCCCGGTTGATTTTCATAAGCTGCTTCCTGCAGTTTGCAAAAAACAACTTTGTTCACATGGCTTAGCCCAGAAAAAACACTTTTGAAGGCCAACTCCTGTATCTTGTGTTCCTTTAGCAGTTAAGATATTTGCTAGCTTCATTCTTTCAGACAAAATATGCAAGCTTTCTTTCCAGCAGCTTTGAGCATTACCATTCCTGACAGTAGCATACTTTTTATAATTTATGCCTCAACTCTCTGCTCTCATTTAATGCATCTTCACTTTAAGACAATTTAATTAAAAGAAAAAAAAAAAAGAAATAAAAGAAAATAGAATAATTCATCTTATTACAAAATTGTATCTTGGCATTTGCAAACAAGAATGTTCATTCTCTTCTGCTTATGTAATGTTCTATAGATGGATTTTGTGCAAATGGGCATTTTTTGCAAGGACACATGCTGATGTTTTTATGCATTCTCTACATTTTCCTGCAAAATTAATTTGCAGTGGTCATACTTTTAAGCTAAACATCAAAGACTTTAAGCACCAAACAGTGAAGCACTTTCCATCCACAAAATAAACTGAACTTGGGCAGAACATTATTATATGAAACTTCCAAAGCATTATATATAAATGTTATATAGTCAGTGTCTTTTAGCAATGCTTTCCTTTATAACATTCACCACAAATGCTACAAATAATAGCAATTTAATTATATCTTTGTCCTGGTAAGTGTTGTATTACAGAATAAATTAAAAACTTATAACCTGGCTACTTTAAATTCAGCAGTTTTTCCTGAAAAGCCCCTCAGCTTCCCTGGCCACCTATCAAGAGGCTGTGTGTTGATTTTTGTTTGGTGAATCACACAGGGTATGTGGGCTGTAGTTTCATTAAGAGCAGGGCATCATGAAACTCAGAGAGAAAGGCCCTGAATCATCACAGAACAAAAAATACATAATTTTTACTCTGTGCACTGAAGTACAAAACAAAAGATGGGGAGGTGGGGGGTTAAAGCAATGAGACAATGAGCCTCACTAATTAGTGCTGACATACTAGTCAGCACGATGAGCAATATGATCAGCTCCACAGCAACCTGTCTATCAAGATAGTTTTTATAGGTACTGTGGCAAAAGGTGATTTTTAACAAAAGAATTCTAGAAAGCAAATAAAGTTTTGCATATGTATGAGCAAAGCCTTTTTGTAGAGTGAAAAGAAAAAGATTCTTATCTGAGAAAGTAACAATGAATGTTGTCATCCTTGGTTAAGCAGAGGTACAAATCACCTTCTCAATAGGGAATAAAAAGAGACTGATTGTGTATGGAAGGCCTGGAAAGCAAAAAAATATCCCTACACCACAAAGATCTTGTGCCTTAGTCCTGAGAAAAATCCAAATTCAGGCCACTGCAACCCAAAGTCCTTTTGAAATATAGCAACATCCATTCTTCAGAATGTTTTTAAAGCTATTTTCAGAATGTGCATTTAACACATATGATAAGCACTATGACAGTAAAATTAACAGACAGAAAGCTAATGAACTCATACATATAACCACTGTAATGTACATGCACCAACCATACCCTCATCAAGAATATCAGATTCATTGTGGACACCAAGCACCCTTACATGTCAGCTGTCTGAAATTGCATGATCATCATCCTGTTGTTGTTTAGAAAAGGTCTATTGGTCCAAGAAAATAAACTCTAAAGAAAATAAAAGACTCTAAAGAAACTTAAAAGTAAGAAGAAACCACTATATATATATAACCATTTATACAAGAGTGTGCATGTGTATGTTTCATTTTGAAAGCCTGCAGTGTAGGCTGTTTACAGTTTACAGTTCTCTTCAGTCTGTATTCACAATACACAAACAGTAATTCCATTTCTGATCTTCCTCCTTTTGTGCAATTATGAGTCTTCTAGTTTTAATTCAGATGCTACAGTAGAAGATCTAACAAGCCCCATTTCTACATATAAAATGTGTGAGAAATTCAGTAGAAAAGACCTCACTTTGCAATATCCAAAGTTTTTTGAGAAATACTATTCTACAAATTTGAGCTTAATTTGATAAGTAGCAGTATCTTGTAATAGTGACTTCTCAAACTGCTACTACAACTTCCTGAAAACTGTGCCTCCAGCCTAATCATACTTTTCCAAGCTGCCACACAAGCCCAGCAAACTGCATTCCAATTTTTCTCTTTCAAATCCTCAATTCAAATATTATAAATCATGCAGCTGATGGAAGATAAATCTAGAGCTTTCACTCACATCTCTGTGTTACAGCCCAGTTTCCCCATCTGGCTGCATCTGCTCTGCAACAACCCTTCATGGAAGGACAGGTTCCAAGTGATTTGGAGGAGCAGTCTAGAACAGCTTTTAACATTCAAAAGGGGCTGTTCAAACAGAGTGATCAAAAGTTGGCAGCTACAGGCAATTAAAAACGTTCTTTACTTAAACCACTAGATTTTAAGTACCAGTTTAAAAATGCCAAACTCTGTCTCTCCCCCAAAGCAGGAATCAGTAAATTAATGACAAGTGCACTGGGATGGTGAGGGATGGGGGGGTGGCCTGAGTTGTTGGTTTTGTTTTTCTTTGTAAGAAACTTTGTTTTATCCTCTCTGGTCATGGTCTTTATAGGAAGTGGTTGTTAAATATCTAATTACACATACAACACATAAAATATTGGAAGCATCAGTTTTTGAATCCATTAAAATTTCAGGCTATTTATTTTACACTGGCTACCAACTTTCTGTAGCTTTCTGAGGAGTGCCTGAATGGAGCAAATTTCAGAAAATACACCTGGAGGTTAAAAAGGATTAGGTCACCACTTTGTATTCAACATCAAAGGCAAAAGATTGACGGGTGTGTTCTTTTAAATTTTTTTCTAAAATTTCAAAGTTGCCTGCTCTGTTTGTATTTCTGAATAAAACACAGATTAATAAAGGTTTAATTCTGCAATCCAAATCAAAAGCAGCTTTGAGTCCTAAAGAAAGATAGATACATTACAAATCAGCTGTAGCAGGTACTTTCCAAATCCACAAATAAATAACAGCAAATATAAAGCACAAAAATCAAGAGACTGCTCCTTCACACACAAGGGAACAACTTTATTACTCCTGGTGAGGATCCTTAGCAGAGCCCTCAGACCCCACACCAGATTTCATTATGGTTTTCTGTGGCTAGAGCCCTTAACCTGAGCTTCACCCATGGCATTAGATGGCCTGCCTAGAGCCCAGGACTAAAGCTTAAATAGCATCTATATTCCAGCTGCCAACCCAGCAATTTTGTGTTCAACCCCCCAGGAAAACAAACAAAAACCAAACAAACAACCCTCTCTCTCTCTCAGAACACCACACAGCAAAACCAAAACTGACAACTGCCCTGGCACAGCTATTATATGAAAAGCTGTTGAAATGTGTTCACAGAAAGTGTTCACAGCTCTGAACACTTTCTGGTTTGGTTTAACAACAGCATATTTATTCATGTTTTTTTTTTTACAGGTGATACAGCTGTCTGATTGAAAGCCCAGCAGGATCGAAGTAAGCATTACATATTAAAAATCACAAAAATAACTACTTGCTTCAGGTTGCTACTGGGATGGCTTCACAAGCACAGAACGTGAAGAAAAGCTGAAAGAATCAATTTCATCTTTGTAAAAATCTAGGGAACATTCATCCTAAACTGAAAAACAGGTTTTTTTTAAATTCAAGGTACTGTATAAAAATCAGAATGCAATGACTGTTTCTTATGACAGAAAGGAACAAACTGAACCCGAGGTTAAAAAAAGAAAATTAGGAAATCAAAGAAACTTTGAAGTCTTCTGACACTGAAAGAACATAGAGTGAATTTCAGGAGTGTCCAAACTTATGAATAAACAACAGCATGTAACAATTAGTATTTTGACTGCTTGTGATACTGCTGTTCTCTGAATTAATTTGAACCACTTCAAAGAATTTTAGCTGATCACTTCAGACTTCTAATACATAAACCAGATTACTTAGAAGATGAGATGCAGTTTTATAGTGTAATAAATGTCCTAAAAGAAAGACAGCAACTTGAAAACAAATGGTTAATGAATTTGTTAGCAAATAGGACTAAATATGGTGAAAGATGTTTCCCAGCCTTGGCACCCAGCACGGAGCTGGTGCCTGGATAAGCAGAGGAAAGCCTTGTACACAGACCTTGCTATCTCCCCAGTAAAGTCGCATTTGCAAGTGAAGGACATTGATAGAGATTCTCAAAATAGTGTGCAGGGGAAAAGGGGGGTGAGTTAGACTGAAAGCACAGCACAGGCCCTGAGAACAAAAGGTCCTCTCACAGATTTGCACTTTCCAAACACCACTGATGTATGTGAAAGAAAACACAGACGATAAATTCTCATTCTCAGCGCACATTTCAAGACATCACTTTAATTATTCCTATCACTTCTGTTGTCTGTTGCACTCCCCCAACGTATGAGCAATACTTCCCATGTTTTCAGCAGCACTTTTTGTATACCCAATGTGCAGGTGCAGCAAATACCTTGGCAAGGGGGAAAGCGATTATCACTTAAGAAAACAGTAACACTGTATAGTTCCTACTTCTTCAAGGTCTTGAGCAAAGCATAAATTCTCATGAAAACGAACTCACTACACTTCAAGCATCAGACAGCGAAGCAGGTAAGTCTTACTGTTGCTCATAGTGCTGATTTTACCGTATTTTGTAATTTATAGGCTTTTTCTTTTTTTCTCTCCTGCATTTGTTCAGTAATTCAAATAAGTATTTTCTCAGGTCTTAAATATAAAAGCGTCAAATATTGTAAAATAATGCAATATACTGAGAAGGGGATATTGTTACTAACTTGTAATTAACTTTCAGGTCAAGTCTACAGAGCTGCACTTCATTTTTTCTGAGAACTCTGCGCTTTCTTGTATGTATTTCAAAAATATGCACTGGTGAACTTTTAACATACTAAGTACTGTTGAATCCTATGCATTAATGTTGGTCATCCCATATTTCAACCACTATTTTAGTCTGCAGTAGTTTTTAACAGCCTTACAGTTCATAAGAAATGGTACTGTGTAAGGAATACAAATATTTTTTATTCTCCCTAAAATATACTTTTCTATTCCAGGTTTACTCTTTCCGCAAGTGGAGTGGATCGTGATCTGGCTCGTTGTTCCTTTTTCCTATGCATATACTTCTTTGAGAATTGCTTCTAAAGAGGTATAGGGCATGGGAAAATGGGGCAACAGAGGTACTTCACCACTCATCTCAAGCAGCATCGTGAAGGCAGCAGCAGAAATGTTTGGAGAAAGCAGACGGGAGAAGAAATGAAAGGTAAATTTATGGAACTCGCAATTAATCTTCAAAGCTTGCATAGAAAGATACCGGCACTATTTACTGTGATCTAACATCTAAATGTTGGTTTCCTCTTAAAATCTGATTTATTACAAGAGCAATGTTTTAAGCTTGTCTCCAATGACATTATTAAATATATCACTTGGTCTAATGTAAGACACACGCCATGCTAGGAAGTTGCTCCTGTGGGTCCTTATTCCGTAAGTGTGCAATTGAAAAGAGCAGAGATGCAGCCACACAAATGCCCAGAACTCTGCCCTTCCTCGCTGTCTCACAGGTGCTGGGATCAGCCCCCCCAGAATCCAGGTAATGCTCACTCACCTGGGTAAAGCCCAGTCATGCCAGTGCTGCCCAAGTGGGTTGTCTGTAATATATCAATTATTCTCAGGATTCTGTTCCTTCAGATTCTAAGTACCTTTTACATGATGCATGCATGTGTGGGATTGCAAAGTCTTCTCTTGTAAAACTCAGTTAATGGTAAATCAAATTAAAAACATATTAATTTTCTTTTCTTTTATCCACAGGTGTCTTGGAGGTAGAAGTAGAACCTCTCTTTGCTCATTTTATTTAATAGAAAAACAATCATTAAACACAATTTTTATGTATTTGTCCAATTACTTTAAATAGCAATGTGTCACATCAGTTCTGGGGGGAAAATATTGGTTTTATGAAACAATGTAACTGTACATAATGCATGTCAAATAAATATTTGATGTTTCAGTCATATATCAAAAGTTTGTGTTACATTGCATCACAGTTTCTAACAAGTGTCATAAAGCTGCGAGCTCAGAAAGAGCAAAACAAGGTGAATTAAAAGTCATTTTACCCAGTGGTTGTTGTTATGCTACACTATTCAATATTAATGAATATTTTAGGAGTTACTTTTCATCTGTCTCTAATGTAATAGTGTCAAAGGACTATTCTATTTACATATCACTTTTTTCAAAAATGAAAAGGTAATTTAAAAACTTACATCCACAACCATATCTTTATTCACTGGTTTCATATCAAAGCTTGTGGTAAAGAGACCTTGTAAGGTTTTTTTTAATATATAAAAAATAAATCTATTAATAGTCATTAAAGTCAAAAGAAACCCCCAGAATTACTGCAGAAAATGTGGAAAATGACATACAAAACAAACAAAAGTATAACTAAACAAGAAACAACCCCCACTTATAGCTTTGTTTCTCATATGTCACAGAAATGACACATTAATATAAAATTTATGATAATTTACACACCAAGTATGTGAGCATAGAGAGAGAAAGGAAAAAATAAAGAACCTGACTCGATATGTAACCTCAAATAACTCAACTTGGGGCTAACCTGAGGGTTTCTTGCTCTAGTAAACAAATGTTACATCAGTTTAATTAACGAGCTCTAATTCTTCCATCTCTCAATAGAAGGAGCAGACAATCAGATTTCACACAGCCCCCAGAGAGGACCCGCTGAATTTCAGCATCTCCCCGAACCTTCCCTCCGCTGAATTTCAGCATCTCCCCGAGCCTTTCCCTCCGCTGAATTTCAGCATCTCCCCGAGCCTTCCCTCCGCTGAATTTCAGCATCTCCCCGAACCTTCCCTCCGCTGAATTTCAGCATCTCCCCGAACCTTTCCCTCCTCTGAATTTCAGCATCTCCCCGAGCCTTTCGGTCCTCTGGCCCTGCTGCCCCCGCCCGGCAGCGAGGGAGAGGGGGACAGGCAGCTGCGGGCAGCCAGGGTTCACAGGCAGAGATGAAGGGACGGAAGGACTCGATGTTTATGGAGTATATTGGAAGACAAGATCTATTGCTAGGATGAAAGGATTTGGCGCCTTTAGGGTTTTTCTTTTTTTCTCCAGCTCTTCCCTTTCATTCATTCATTTCAGCCATTCATTTTAATAATACAACCCCCTTCAGAACTTGGGGTTACAATGCTTATTCCTGTCAGTAAAATGTATCTTTTACCATTGTTGATAGTTAACTTTGATATGCATCCACACTGTGGATTTGTTTCTTTATTTCTGAGTGATCTTTGTAGCTATTACACAAACAACCATGGGCTTAAAAGTAAAAGAATACTGGCATTATTCAATCTTACATCTTAATCATAAAACATGCCTTACAATGTGGACTGAATTTTCAGTCCAATAAACTTTTTTTTTCCCCCATACTCTTCCTCCATTCTGCAGGACCAGAGTCTCACAGCTATAGGTAAGAGAAGCAGTAGATCAAGTGAAGAAAGGAAAAATAAAAGAAAAAAAATTTACAATGAAAGAAGGCTAGTGACACAGCAAACAGGAACAAGTTTTCCAGGAGAGGTCAAGGTTTTAAACAAAATCTCCCCGCTTCTTTTTGTTAATTCTTTTCATGCTGCATAATATGTAGAGGGGGTTAAGTTAAGATTAAGCATTTAAATTTTTCTCCTAAAAACTAAGAATTGTTTTGCATTGACAGGGAGCGAGGGGGGAGGATGATGTCCATTATCATATGGATAATTCAAGGAAGAAAAGCCCTTCCCGACCCAGGGAGGGGCAGCATTTCCCGGCGGGAGGCGCTGCCCGGCGCTGTGACCGAGCCCGGCCCGGCGGAGGGAGGGAGGGATGGAGGGATGGAGGGATGGATGGAGGGATGGATGGAGGGATGGAGGGAGGGATGGAGGGAGGGATGGAGGGTGTCAGGAGCAGCGCTGCGGCAGCACCGGAGCCCCGCTGGAGCAGAGGGCAAACAGCTAGAAACGATGGCAGAATGGAAGCCCTGAAAGTAGAAGTCGCATTCAAAAATCAGTATTTCTTTACTAGTGAGTTACATCTCCATCTGCACATCCATCCAGTTCTCACCTTGTCCTACCTTAGTCTCTCTCTCTGGAGAAAGTGAGGAATTATACTGACCCACTGACTGTCGAGACGCCTGCATTTACTTATATAAAACAAATTAATCACTACTGAATGAATGATCCTGGTTCCTCCTCTTTCCTTCCATGCTTCAAGCATGGCAAGTTAAGAGCTAGTCCAATCTTTCAGTGAGTGGATGTATCTCCACATTGTTAAAAAAAAAGCCATTTTCTTTCCTTTTTTTTTCTTTCCCCGCTGTTTCCTGCTGGCTTCGAAGCCTAAATGGACTCCCTGATAGATCAGAGGGTCACCTAAACTCAGAGCATATGGGGAAAAGCACGGCCAGAAGGATGGAGGCAGGAGGAGTGAATCAATTCCTTCCAACAGCAGAGCTGGTAGTACTACTCAGCAGGTTTCATTTAGATAGGCATGTCCGTTGTATGAGATAGAAATTAATTAATTAGTTAATTAATTAGTTTGTAACGTTTTTATCTGATGAATGTCCTTAATAATTGTTAAAATAACTGAATAACCTGTTTCCAGAGTTCTTCTTTGCTAGCATACTGACAAATCCTACATCTTTTGTGTAGTAATATTTTCTATGCTCAAACCAACACCAGAAGAATAATTGTTGCTTTACAGGAAATTATCTTGATCACTGATACAATGATCAAAAACATTAACACCTATGAGACACATCGTAAAGTTATTTCAAGATGCTTAAATAGACAACAGAAAGCGCACCTGTAGGTGTCACCAGATGTTCTCACTGAGGGCTCTGCCAAGAAAAGCCGACATTAAATCACCGCAGTACAATGTGGGTCAGTTGCACCTCCACTATACTTAATTACAGCTTACCATTTACATTCAAAGATCTTGAAGTCCCCACGTTCATAAAAAGTGCTGATAATCAATGGAAAATGGGATAAATGTGTCATCACAGGTTCAGACGAGTGTTAATTGCTAACCAGAAACACAGGACAATTACCTTTGACTTGTAATTGTTCTCATGTGATGGTCGCTTATGAGATCCAATCACTCCATCAAAGTCCCTTTAATGGGAGCTTTGCCTCAAGCCATGATCTGTATCTTATGTAAATCATCACAATAACACTCAATGGCATGAATGTTAGCATGTTTTAAAAACAATATTATTTCAGGCATATTTTTCTGGTGTTTACCACCTTCATAGCCACTGATACTTCTAGCTTTGTTGAGCTTCCTGTTTAGTTCTAACCTTGCAGGTCAAATGACAATTGGCAAAACCAAAATTTGCTGCTAATTAAGACGCTGCCTCCCCAAAATCAATCAATCACGCACCACAATACCCGAAGTCTCTAAAGTTTAAATATCAACCAAAGGAAACATAACAGAAAGATCTTAGAGGGGAAAATAATCACACTAACAAGGCCAAAACCCATTAAAAACAAAATAAAATACATCTTTATTTTCTAACATAATAGGACACCATACATCTATTTTTGTGCAGTCACATACAAGCACAGGAAAGTTTAGTCATTTAATCATTTACTTCTGTTTATAATAAAAGAGCCAGTGTCTAAAGCACCCAGCAGAGTAATTTTCACTGTATGTCTGTACATGGTTTTCTGCATGAAAAAAGTAGGAAGGAAACCTCACAAGCTAAACCATAGTCTGGAAAACTGCTTTCCTTAGAGGTAAATAAAATATTGTATTAGCTTCCTGTGTCTTTTGAAATTAGGGCTTTTCTCCTGAAATTGTGGAATCGATTATTCCAATATAGTCAGACAATAACACGATCCATGATCGCAGAATAAAGAACCAAAATACTCACAAACCAACAAGTTTCATTAACACTAAAATACAAATTTAAAAACTGCCATCGTAGTGACAGAAATTTCGTTGTTTCAAGATATTGGTTCATCTATTAAAATAAGCACAATAATAATCAACAACTACAAACATTATTATAACAAAGGAATCATATTTTGCTAATCCTTCTGGTTAGATATTACCTGTAACGCTAAAATTACAATGATTCACTTCAGAAACTGTCTACTGCTTACTCATTTTTCCAGACAAATTTTACTTTCTCTAGGATTAATTTCAAAGGTTATTGGACTAGGAAACAGGCTAACTAAAAATTAATGGTCCATTATTTGGAATGGTCCATTCCAGACAAATCGCCCTGAACACTGAATCATTTCCCACTAATTTTTGCTATAACTTTACGGAAATTCAGGGCGGGGGGTGGTGGTGGGTTTGGATTGTTTCTTACTTAGACGAAAACCTGTAACTTTCAACTTGCATCTTAATTGCTTTTAAGACCTGCAAATTGCTGTGGGTGGAACCAGAAGCACATGAAGACAATGCTACCATTGTCTCTGTTAGCTTAGAAGAAATTTTCTTTAAAACAGAAGTGTCAGGTCGGCCAAGTCATTGCTTTACCTCCAAACGTATGTAGTCACCTACTAGAAATGTCATGTTTATTAAAAAAACAAACAAACAAAAAACCTGGTCAGGTAGATATTCAAGAGTTTGTTTTTTCTTCTTTTTACTACAAGAAGAACAAAGGACTTTATAAAAGCAGGTGAATGTATGAAGAACATCCAAAGTCAGAACGTAAAAATTTCTTCCGTGTGTCAGGATTCAGCATAGTTAACAAAATTACATTGCACTTAATGGGAGAAAATAATAATCCTACCTGAGAAATATAGAAAACCTACGGAGAGAGAAAGCTGCAAATGTAGCATTATCTTACTTGTACCATCTCACTATAAATACATCACCCTTCATAAAAGGTGACATGAATTTCTTTGAAGTTTAAGAATTAGCACATTGTCTCAAACATGTTCCTCTCCGCGTGGAAGCTGCTTCATTATCTCTGACTATATAAACTCAAGCAGCGGTGGCTGTTTACTGAAACAACCTGTAAATGTGTTAGCCTGTGTTTGCAGAGGATAAGGACTGTGCCATCCCAGGCCCACTTCAGACCGTAAAAGTGGTTCTTTTCTCACCCTTATCTGAATCATCCTTGAACAGACTGCCTCTGAACAGAGTTTACACTCCTCTTCTTTGATCTACCTCATAAGAACATCAGAACTGTTTACTTTGAAATGCACACATTTCTTTCTTGGGATGCAAGGAAAGGAGACAACGCTTTAAGACATGAACAGCAAATTCAGGCAAACTAGTAATTTTCCTCAGTGTCCTTCCTATCCTGTCCAACATCCTGACACATAACTGCTTCTTAATCTTGTTCTTAAATGAATTCATAAGCACGAACTCAAATTATTCAAAACTTCCCAGCCTGTTTTCTGAAAATGACCTCACAGGTTGCTACACAAACACCGCTGTCGTCTACTTTCAACCACTCTCTCCCTGAAGACTTCTTAAAATCTCTGATACTACATAAACCGAAGTCAACGAGTGTACCTAAGACTTGAGAGGAAGAAGAGTCCTGACTGCAGCACTCTGCCTCATGGACAGCACCAAAAATATTTAACCCTGTGCTTTCCAAAGAACTCCAAGCTCAAACAACCTCTATCCACTCAGACTTAGTAAAGAGCACGGAGTTCCTCACAGGAATATTGATAAGATATGTAGAAGTGTTTCTTCAAGATTTCTATCTGACGAGGACGACTTACTTGTTCCTACCTCACGTCCCTACTTTCTCTGCTGATAGAAACGCAAGGGAACTCTTTCAAGCCTTGCATCAAACAGGCAAGAAGGGCTCAAAATTTGGGTATAAGACTCATAAAAGAGGCTTCTCCCTGTCCTTCTTTGCTATCAGTCCGTTCTGAATCCTCGTCCTTCATAGCAGGAGATAAAGATTGGAAAGCCCGGGGGCGGAGGGGGGCTCTGGCAGCGCGGGGAAGCCCAGGCCGTGCTGCAGCTCCCGGCACCTGCGTGGTGAGACGGGGCCGCGCTGAACTCGGCGCCAGGTCAGGCAGCCTGGGGTTCTGCAAACCACTGCTCTCGGAGATTAGGCGGATGTAACAATCACCCGAAAGGGGAGATTAAAGCGCCTCTCGATGAGGTCCTTTGTCCCGGGCCTCATTTGATGCTTTGGGACTTTTCAAACCCCGCCGGGGAAGGCGCTTTAAATGTTTGCCCCGGCGGCCGGGGCGGCTCCAGTGAGGGCCGGCAGGGCTGGGGACATGGAGAAGGGACCCTTCTCGGTGGAGTGGCTGGCCCAGAGCAGCCTCGGCGGAGCCAGGGAGCTGCCCGGTGAGTCCCGGCCGTGCCCTCTGGGTCCCCCCGCGCGCTTTCGGTCACCGCGGGCGGGGCGCGGCCACCCCC